CTACTTGAGGTCCATGAAGCGAATGTCCATGATGAGGAGGAAGCTCTTGGGCAGCGGCCGCGGGGCGGGGGACAGCACGGTGAAGACCTGCCGCTCCAGGTCGACGCCGGTGACGACGATGAACCCGGCCACGCTTGTCTCCGAGATGTTGTCGTCGGGGCTGTCGGCCGTGCTGACGCTCAGCAGGTGGTGCACCATGTCCCGCCCCGGCGTCACCGGCACCAGCTTCAGCTGGTTGTCCTCCTGCGACATGCCCAGCGGCAGGCAGGAGTCCGGGATGGTGGGAGCCCCCACCTTGTAGATCTTGACGTCGGAGAACTTGACATCGAAGGCGTGCGGGTAGAAGCAGCCCCGGAAGCCATAGAAGTACTCGCGGATGCGGTCGTCCCGGCACTCCCGGCGGAAGTCCTTGGAGCGCTCCACCACCCCGCCGGACTTGGGCAGCAGGACGGTGCGCACGAAGTGGGGCAAGTCCCTCTTCAGCTCGTTGTAGAGCCGCTCCTGGTCCAGCACCACCACCACGTCCACCTCGAAGGCGGAGGCGGCGTGCACCAGCGCCTGGTAGCCCGAGCCCTTCACCCACCCGCAGGTGTTGATGACGCAGCCGCTGACGGAGGCGCGGCGGTTCACCTCGCAGCGCTGGTTGAAGACGTCGGCCAGGCGGGACGTGATCTGCAGGGGAGACATGGCAGAGGTGACACAACACCCGTGTCCCCAGGACCCAGCCGGCTCCCGGGGACCCCCACGGTTCCCGCAGTGGCACCACGCCAGCTCCCACCGGGGGGGGGCTCCGGGGAGCGAGCAGCAGCCCCAGGATGGCACCAGAAGGGCGGGGGGCTGCCATGCCAGGCCCTGTCCTACTCCCCAGGGACACGGCGACCCTCCGCGCTGTTCCTGCCCTGCTCAGCACGTTTATTTACCACTGCAGTGCGGGAGCAATGCCCGGCCCCTGGGCAGATGCCTGGGACAGAATCCTTTCTTCCCCACCCTCAACTCAGCCCTGCGAAAGGGTGATTTGCTGTGCAGGAAGCTGACGCTGCCCCTAAAACACACTGTGAGCACTTCAGAGGGCTCCCCTACAGCCGGAGAGATGCTCTTCTGCCCCAGGTGCTGCAGGACAGGGGCAGCACAGGACTGCGGGCAGCATTCAGCCTCTGCCTCCCCAAGGATTCGGATCAGCTTTTGGGCATCCTCAGTTTTTTCTTGGACTTCTTTCTACCTGGGCTCCCATAAAGAGAGCAGCAGGCTGTGGGCAGCAGGGATGGGGGGGTCCCTGCAGGGGAGGGGCACTCTGCAGTGACAGACACCATGCTCTGGCAAACGCCAGCCCTGAATGAGGGCAGGTCCCTCAGCTCCTCCTCTGGGGCTCAAGAGCTTCTCTACTCCTCAGAGGGCTCCTCCAGCCCCTCTATCATCCCTGTTACGCCTCTCCCCTCACTGCCTCGGCCCTTCCTGTGTCTCTGTTGAGCTGCAGCGCCCAGAAGTAAGCACAATGCTCGTGGTGGGGGCACGCCACAGTCTTACACAGCGGCAACAAGGGATGATCCCAGGTGGGCAGGGAGCTCAGGAGCCTGGCTCTGAAGCAGGCCCATCCCCGGGGCCAATCCCTCCCGGGCTCCCCGTGCTCACCTTGTTGTAGAGCTTGATGTTGGTGCCAGGCGTGGTGGAGCCAAAGTGGTAGACGAGCGGGGCCTGGAGGGAGAAGCCCTCCTCCACGTCGGCCGGCCGCTCGATATAGAGCGCGCCCATGGTGCCGGGGATGGAGACGGAGCCCTGCCCCACGTCTAGCTCCACGAAGGTGGGCCGTCGCCCCAGCCGCACTGCGTAGTTCAGTAGCAGGCGGCAGACGGTCGACTTCCCCACGTCAGTGGGTCCCACCACCATGACACGGGGCCCCCGCTCGTCCTCCCGCTCCGCCTGCCGCCGCATCTGCTCCAGGGCCGTGTGGGTGTTGAGGTAGAGCAGCATGGGGGTGTCCTTGGAGATGTAGGCTACCTCGGTGCGGCCGCTGAGCTGGACGGTGCAGCCGTGCCAGGTGAAGACGGCCACCTTGGCGCCGGCATCGAAGGTGAACTTCTTGTTGCGGGTGAGCTCGGTGCCGAAGACCTCGGCCATGCCGGTGAGCAGCTCCAGCTGCACCGTCTGCGAGGCCTCCACCTCGAACCGCAGCTCCGTCTCCCGCTCCAGCTCGAACTTGGCCACCTGCTTCTTCTCCTCGCCGCCGTCGTCCGCCATGACGGGTCTCCGGCCTGGCCTGCGGGGAGGTGGGAGGGTGGGCGGCGGGGCCGGGTCTCGGCCTCCTCCCGCGCCCCCAGGCCCCGCCGCCGCCCGGGATGGGGGTCCCGGCCCCCCCCTGCCCTCATGCCGTTGCCATGACAACCCCCGGCGCCGCCCGCCCGCCCCCTCCTCACCCACCTACCGGGGCCGCCGCGCTTCCGGGCCGGCCGCGCTGCGCCGGAAGTGAGGTCACAGGGGCGCGCCCGGCGCGGTGGGCGGGGGGAGCTGCGGCGGGGG